CATTTTCTACCAATAAGAGATAAATACTCTTTAGAAAAGTTAGCGCATATTTACATAAAAGAAATTGTTACCAGACACGGTGTTCCATTGTCCATTATCTCTGATAGAGATAGTCGGTTTACTTCCAAGTTCTGGGAAGGACTACAAAAAGCTTTGGAATCTGAAATCCGATTGAGTACAGCTTATCATCCGCAAACTGATGGGCAGAGTGAAAGAACTATCCAGACTCTCGAAGATATGTTAAGAAGTTGTATTATTGACTTCGGGGGATCGTGGGAAGATCACTTGCCATTGATAGAGTTTGCATATAACAATAGTTACCATTCCAGTATTCAAGCGGCACCGTATGAAGTGTTGTATGGACGTAAATGCCGAACGTCGTTATGTTGGAATGAAGTGGGAGAGAAACAGTTGACAGGTCCTGAAATTGTTCAAGAAACTTCTGAAAAGATCGAACAGATCCGTGAAAGAATAAAAACAGCACATGATCGCCAGAAAAGTTATGCAGATAATCGTCGAAAGCCAATTGAGTTTAGTATAGGTGATTTTGTGATGTTAAAAGTTTCGCCATGGAAGGGTGTCGTCAGATTTGGAAAGAAAGGGAAGCTCAGTCCGAGGTATGTGGGGCCGTTTAGAATATGTAAGCGAATTGGGCCAGTAGCATATCAATTAGAGTTGCCAGAAGAGTTGAGTCTGATTCACAACACTTTTCATGTGTCGAATTTACGGAATTGTTTGGTTAATCCAAGTTTAGCTATACCGTTACCAGAGATCCAATTAGACAGTAAGCTAAATTTTGTGGAAACACCGAAAGCTGTAATCGACAGAAAGATCAGGGTGTTGAGAAACAAAGAAATAAGTCTGGTAAAAATTCAGTGGAAGTTTTACAAAGGACCAGAAGCAACATGGGAATTAGAATCAAAGATGAGATCAAAATACCCATGGCTCTTTGATTAAAGGAATTCCGGGACGGAATTCTTTGGAGGGGTAGATAATGTGATAACCGGATCCTAGTTATCACCCAAGGTAATTAATATGTGATTATCTGATTAAATGATTATGTGATAACATGATAAATTGATACGTTTAGTCATGCTGGTATGTGAAAATTATGTGCATAATGTGATTATGTGTATGAAAATATATACATGGTATATGTACTTGAAATGGATGTGTATATATGTTTATATATATATGCATAGTGTATATGTGCATACATGTATGGTAAGGG